GAGAGAAACATGATGCTGGCAAAAGCAATGTGGTGTCTCTCTTGAGTCAAAAGTTATTGAAGAAAAACATTTTTCCAAAAAGGCGGCTATTTTTGGAGTTTTTGCCCTCTGGTGTGTAAACCGTTGACCTGAGGTCAAATATGAGAGCACTCTACAGAAAGGCCAGTAATATATGATACTGAACGAGGCCGGTGTAAATTCAGTAAGGACTGAGGTCTTGAAAATTTATCACCGGCCGAGTTTGGTATGTATTTTACGGTATGCCAACGATAAAGTAATTGTCTAGACCGAAGCTCTTAGCCGTTTTTTGAACGAGGCCATCCCAAAATGTTGACTTGATAATACATTCCTGTCCGGGGCTGGGAAAGTTTAATGGTGTCGCCGAGATTTTTAATTGAAAGTACCGAGGTTCGATTAAAATACGAGGTGACACCATTACATTTTCCCAGCTCAGGGCAGGAAGCTCTTCCCCATACATGCGTACCATTATAGGGAGCGTTGCAAATGTTATGGAGAAAACCAAAACGCCCCAATTTCAACCTTGTTGAGTCTTTCGTGGCTAGCTATGGTTTGTTGCAAATTAGCGTCAAAGTTTAAGTTTTATATGGTGATGCTTCACTTTATTCATGACAAATAATAAAATCCTTGCATCAAACACAATGTAGGTAGGCATATCATAAGCCAATCAAATAAGATGGACGATAGATAAAATGAAGTTATAAGGAGCAAAATGATGCTCTTCAACTTTATGATGTGACGTCATTCATGATGACGTCATATATTTGAGAAGTGCAGGAAAACGTTGAGGGGTGCAGGAAAACGTCGAAAGGTGCAGGAAAACATATTTTCCTGCATGTCTCGCACGGACGTATAAATAAACTGGACTGACGATCCCAATGGACCTCCTATGGAACATAGTGAAGCCGACAAGGCGCCATTTTACGTTGCCAAAAACCCGTGCTCTGAAAGGTCATCGAGCCAATACGATTGGAATTGCGTCTAAACGGATGATCGGATCGAGATGCTGGTGGTACCGTTCGACGGGTAATGCTTTGAGGCAGGTGATGATGCATGTCACAGGTCATTCGGTGCCACGTGGCGCGTGCCACGTGCCGACAAAGTCAGGAAGGACAAAAACCTTTAAGCGACGCTCCAAATTAAACGGTGGGCAACACAGGTGCCAAATTCACAGGTCACACGTCCCGGTGTTTGACCATTAACATATAGTATGCTCGGCAGCAGGGGGTGCGGATGCACGCGCCAGGGGCGAAAAACATGTTTTGAGGAGGCATCCTCCGATTCCGGAAAACCTTGATCTAGGCACACCAAATTTGGCACACTGACACGACTGGACGAGCGCTTTAAGGCGCTGTGCAAATAGATGTGCTGGGGTACACGGTGCACGTGCACAGCACGTGCAAACCTTTTGATGTTGCACTCTGTGTCACATATACGGGCAGAGCGGGTAGCGCTAGCAAGCTCAATGTACCAAATTTACACAGGCCACCCGGAATGCATTCCCGCATAGTTATTGAGCATATCCATCTCCTGGTGGACCCCGAAGGTGCGCTCTGCACGTGCAAAAAATTATCCGCGCCGGGTGGTGGGGATGCTTGGACACCCCATGTAGGTCTATGTAAATATCTCGAAAACAGCGTTGTGGAGCGCCGCCGTTTTTAGCACACCCTTTCATGCATCTTTTTCACACATGCTGCATAACTTTCAGACCCAGGTCACTCAAGGCTAGGTCACCAAGGTTACGTCCAAGTGGCCTTACCTTAGGAAAAGTTATAATGCTCGTCATAGCTACACAGACTGAACAATTGGTCTAAAACGTTGGCAGCGATTACTAAGAGCACCATATATACGTAGAGTACCTCTACCTCGGTAGTTCACTGTCACTGACCTAGGGTTCTGATATCAGAGTGAGTTGATTTTGCGACCTTTCTATTATAGGTAAGTCAATGGGAGACAATTGAACTGCGCTTCTGTTGCACGAAACTCATATTAACATACTAAACAATGCACTCAAATAACGGGACGCGGGTAGCAGTGAAACGTGACATATTTAATCGGAAAATTGCACCTGTGACCTCTAATTATGTCCTGGGGTTATTTCAGGTCATGACAGCCATCCAAAACATTTTGACAATAACCTTTGGTAGAGACATGCAAGAGCGCTGAAAACACTTTTGATATGTTTAGTTCAACTTCGTAAATTGAGGTTGTTGTGAGTTCTACGGGTCATTTATCAGGAACGTCATGTTTGTTTTGATCACAGCTGATGTTTTCATGCATTTAGGCCAGGTCGGGTCAGGTCAGGTCAGGTCAACCAGTAGGTGTCCTGCCACTTATCCATAGTAGGTGTCAACCACCACTGATGGCGTCGTAACATGTTACGAAGGCAATGAAACTATAACTTCTTAAATGTTAAACTTAATGCTAAATTCGAAATCAGCTCCAAAAACTGTCCTAGAGACATGTAAAACTCGAAAAGGTGAACCAAGGTCATTAAAGGTCAGTGACCTTGACCTAATTTTCACGAGACCCTGACACCAACCATATTGCATGTGACCAGCCTCATATCACATGTTTGAACGCTTAAGTTGAAACCACGAAAAGACAACAAACGCGCAGCTAGTGCGCGCCGACGTACGCCGAATCGCGATTCCGGCCAAATGCACGGTCTCGTAATAATAACTTAATATTAGATGCTGATTTACCGCTACTCAGTCAAGTTAGAACCATTTCTTGGCCGCGGTCACCGGTCCAGGCCACCACATAATCGTACCTATTACACCGCGCTTGCTCAATGCTCAGTTCGTATTGTAAAAGCACTGCGGCACAGCATAGGTGCAGGCGCTCTGCTACTGCCATCTATGGGTGAAAGATGAAGATAATGGTTGTTGCGGTACAGTATCACTACAGGCGCCGATAATGCTTTATAATTGTACTTTTTGTGTTAAGACTGCAAGAGCTTTTGCCTTTTGCGCTAGGTACCTACAATTAATCTTTTTTGTCATTTTTTCATTTTTATGTTGGTAGGAATGAAGCGCAGTTCAACTGTCTCCCATTGACTTATACCTATAAAGTATAATAGAAAGGTCGCAAAATCAACAGAACCCTAGGTCAGTGACAGTGAACTACCGAGGTAGGGGTAGTCTACGTATATATGGTGCTCTTAGTAATCGCTGCCAACGTTTTAGACCGATTGTTCAGTCTGTGTAGCTATGACGAGCATTATAACTTTTCCTATAAGGTGAGGCCACTTGGACGCAACCTGGTGACCTAACCTTGAGTGACCTGGGTCTGAAAGTTATGCAGCATGTGTGAAAAAGATGCATGAAAGGGTGTGCTAAAAACGGCGGCGCTCCACAACGCCGTTTTCGAGATATTTACATAAACCTACATGGGGTGTCCAAGCATCCCCACCGCCCGGCGCGGATAATTTTTTGCACGTGCAGAGCGCACCTTCGGGGTCCACCAGGAGATGGATATGCTCAATAACTATGCGGGAATGCATTCCGGGTGGCCTGTGTAAATTTGGCACGTTGAGCTTGCTAGCGCTACCCGCTCTGCCCGTATATGTGACACAGAGTGCAACATCAAAAGGTTTGCACGTGCACAGCACGTGCACCGTGTACCCCAGCACATCTATTTGCACAGCGCCTTAAAGCGCTCGTCCAGTCGTGCCAGTGTGCCAAATTTGGTGTGCCTAGATCAAGGTTTTCCGGAATCGGAGGATGCCTCCTCAAAACATGTTTTTCGCCCCTGGCGCGTGCATTCCGCACTCCCTGCTGCCGAGCATACTATATGTTAATGGTGAAACACCGGGACATGTGACCTGTGAATTTGGCACCTGTGCCACCCACCGTTTAATTTGGAGCGTCGCTTAAAGGTTTTTGCCCTTCCTGACTTTGTCGGCACGTGGCACGCGCCACGTGACACCGAATGACCTGTGACATGCATCATCACCTGCCTCAAAGCATTACCCGTCGAACGGTACCACCAGCATCTCGATCCGATCATTCGTTTAGACGCAATTCCAATTGTATTGGCTCGATGACCTTTCAGACCACGGGTTTTTGGCAACGTAAAATGGCGCCTTGTCGGCTTCACCTGAATGGAGGTGGTTGCGGGTCCAGTTTATTTATACGTCCGTGATGTCTCGGAAGTCGGAAACCAATCAGCATTGACTTCTTGTGTGTTTCAAAAGTGCCATTTTAATGCCTGACTTTGTCGATTTTAACGTGCAATGTTGCATGTATGGGAAAATGCATTTTTGACCGTAGTCACTTTGCTTACACCAGCTATTACCACACCCCTCAGGCCAATGTATTTGGATAGACCAGGTATAAGAGAGCTATCGAATGCGCTTTTCCGCGGCGCTGTAGCTCTATTGGTTCCCGAGTTGTCCGTTGGCAGTTTCGAAAAAAATATTGAAATAGCAAAATTTGACCTTTGATGGCCTCTGGTTACCTGACCTTTGACCTGACCTAAAAAATGACCAAAGTATTTTCGTCATGAATTTTGACGTTCTTTCAAATACCGCTTACCGCGTGCCGCTACGTGGCCCAGGGGCCGAGTTAGATGGGTGAGGGTGTTCAAACACCCCCCCCCCCCCAGCAGAGCGTGGAAATCCAGGACCCCCAGCGGGGCGCGGGTTAACTTTTTTTTAAGGTAGGAGGGTTCCTGTAAATCAATTCCTTACAGATACCCAAAATTTGGCGCGCCTGCTGCGCCGTTTTTAAGCTATACCTAGCAAGGCGAAAAGCGGACGTGTCTAGCCCCCCCCCCCTCCCAGCAACTCGCATGTTATATTCTGCTATGAATATTAATGATCTGAGCTATTTCAGTTGGTATAACATGATATAACTCTGTATTTATGTTTTACAGAGTCACCGTCCGTGACAACGGAAGCGACGGCACGCCTCCTGGCTACCCTCGCCGACTTGAGGTTTGTCGTTCTTGATGGAGCAAGCGCCATTTCCTGTGCTGTGCTAGCAGCCCTTCAGGGCTGTGCGCAGCTGGAAACGGTGCAGCTCTATGACTCCCGGCCCGTCGCGGACATCGCTGCCCTGACCCAGTCAGAGCTGGCAGCGGTCAGCAGGTCAGTCGGCCGGACGACGCCGGCGGATACTTGTCATGCTGTCATGATTGGGTTCTTGAAGTGTACAGACGTGTTTTGCTGTGCTCTAGAAAACTTGGATTTTAGCCGAATATAGCTTGTTTTCATTAATGTGTTATATATTGGCATGTTCCTAATTTAACGTAGACTAGATGGCATGTTTTGCGCTATAACTGTGCGTTTTGATAGATGCGTTTGATGGGGCATTAGTTTGGGTGTGTGAACTTGTGATTTAATATACTTTTGTGTCATATAAGTATAAGATGTGTCTTTATTCTTACATCTAAAATTTGATTTTTTCTAGTCTTTTGTTTAAAAAAAAAAACAACTATAGTTCGTTTTTTTTTCAAAAGGACGCTGGCTCCAAGTTCCTTATTGAAGCTCTCACGTGAGTTTTGGCAGCTTCAGCGTCTGGCCAAGAATTTCTTACCGAAAAAATATTCGATTTCAAATTGTGCACGGTAAGTACCCGGAAATTGTGTCTTGAAAAATTAGCATGTTATGATGACGTCACTGGTGGCAGCAGGCACCCAATGTCCGTACGATGGGACAAAGTTTCGACGAATGTGGGGGAAACTTCGTTTTTCACTGTTGCCGAGGTTATAATCGAGTAAGCGGTTTCGTCCATGATAGTTATACGGTACATTGCAATACAAGTACGACAGCATGACGTCACCGCTGTTCTCATGTCTGGTTCCAAAACACACGTATGAAAATTTTCGGTAATACTTCACATGTTAAAATAAGGCGAAGTTCTAGTTTCTCAGGTTCAGTTTTTGCTCGTTTTGCTCGCTAAAACGCGTGCTTTTTCGAAAAACATACTTTGAGCCAGCGTCCTTTTGAAAAAAAAACGAACTATAAATGAAAGTAGGGCAAAGTGCCCTTGATTTTTGTAGGAAGGCTCGTGCAGCTAAATAGAGTAGTTGTTCGTTTTCAAGATACCATTAGCTGAATTATGAACGACTCTGTTGGCGAAGATTCTGAGACATCCGCACTCATTGAAGGTTTTGATCTATTCTTTTAGGAGTGGGTTGTAGCGAACAAGCGTGAGAGGAACAAAAAGGACAAAAAAGCCGGTGCCTTGCCCTCTCGTAAAAGCGTGCCAAAGGTCACGGGCAATGTAATATTTGTAATGGTTCCGAGGGTAAGCCTTGCGGAAAATCGGTTTCGAACGACGTTTTTGGTTCAATCAGATGCCAAATATGCATGACCTGGTACCATCCAGCTTGCCAGGGCCTGGAGGAGGAGGCGTACAAAGCGATCACTAGATTTGGTCTCCTTTGGCTGTGCGAGGAATGTGAAGATCACGTGCAGGATTTCCGCAATCTTGTGCAGGGAAAAGTGTCAATTGAAAAGAAGATAGATGCGCAATTCTCGAGTGTAGAGAGCCAGATGAAGGAAATGCATCAGGCTATTCTGGAAAACACTGCTATCCTAAAACAACAAGAAAAAGCGCAGGTGATCGAATGAAGCTGATTGAAGGATGCATAAGCGAGAAAAAGTCACAGGAAAGTACCTATGCCGAAATAGTGAGAGGTTCGTGCTCCGAAGTTATTAGTGAAGTGTCCGCTAAGCTGTCAGCCTTCCCACTCTCTGCCACACCTCCAAACGACGTCCCAAGTGTAGCCAAAGTCGTTGACGATTTTTTCGACAAAGACGAGCGAAAAAAGAACATCATCCTGCACAACCTCCCGGAGCCGAGGGCTGGAACTTTGGGTCAGAGGTCCCAGGAAGACATAAACCAATTTTTGGAGATGGTCAAGGAAACCTTTCGACTACGAGTTAGCGTGGCCAGATTCTTTCGGATCGGCAAGGCTAACCCTGACAAACCCAGACTGCTCGTGGTAACGCTGGAGAACGAGGACATAAAGCACGAACTGCTGAAAATGGCCCCGCAGCTCCGCCACTCAGTGCGATGGGGAAACATATACCTCTCCCCCACCAAACTAAGGTGGAGCGCGAGGCTTCTAGGAAGTTGAGAGATGAGCTCCGCTCTCGCAGGGCAGCCGGCGAGCAAAGCCTTGTAATCCGCAACGGGAGGATCATTTCCAATGACAGGCCAGTTTCACATGCCCAAGCCGGTCGGAGTTTCGATAGTGTAAGGAACAGTGCCAGATCTATTACCTTGCCAGTCGTCCGGTCGTCGGCTGCAACCCATGATTTGGTTCCAGCTGATGCATTGGCACATAACGATACCTCCCGTGTGTTATCTTTGGAAGTTCCGGTGTCTGATGGCTGTCCTCCAGAACCTCAGCAAGCGTGACTGCCCGTGAAGAATGCATCTGAGGGCACTCGGTGCCTACGTATTTGGTACACAAATGCGGACCAATTGTTGAACAAGAGGGATGATTTGTGCAGGACTATTTGTGAAGATCCCGATATCATTTTCATCACTGAAGCGCTACCAAAGGTGCGGATGTCGTCAGTGCCCCTTGTCTTGTTCTCTGTGCCTGGTTATGAAGTGCACACCAACTTTGATGATACCAATTACCTTGGCATTCGAGGCATATGCATCTTTCATCATCGACTGAAAGTTTCCAACGTACATTTTCCAGATTCAAGATTTAAAGAGCAACTTTGGGTACAATTGTGCTTGGAAAACAATGACGTGCTACTTGCCGGATGCATTTATCGCAGTCCCTCAGGCGACCCCCCCATCGAAGTGTTGATGACTTGTCTTGCTTTTTCAAAAATGCGATTTCTCTCAAGCACACTCACCTGCTCATTGTTGGGGACTTTAACATTTCTCAGATTGACTGGGAAAACAACTTTTGCAGCGCATCTGAAGCACATTTTGCCAACAAGTTTTTGTCTGCCGTTCAGGATGCATTCCTGTTCCAGCATGTCACCAAGCCTACCAGATTTAGAGAGGGTTGTAGGCCTAGTATACTGGATTTGGTGTTTACAAATGATGAGAATATGATAACAAAGATCGAATATTGTCCTGGATTAGGAAGGAGTGATCATGTGCTACTGAAATGCGATATTGCCTGTTACAACAAAAAATGTTCTTCTGCCGGCTTGAAATGGAATTTTCACCGCGCTGACTTCACGGCCTTGCGTGTAAAACTACATGCAGTTGACTGGAGCTGTTTGTCAACCATGAGTGTAGACGCGGGTTACAAGTGGTTCAGGAGCAAACTTGAATCGCTGATGAGTGAGTGCATACCCAAAGCAAGGAACGTCAAGTCTAAAAAGAACGTTTACGTGAATAGCCGTTCACTAAACCTCAAGAAGAAGAAGAAGGCACTGCGGTCAGTGTACATGAGAACGCAAGACCCGATCGACTATAGCAGATACAAGATTTGCAGAAATAAGCTTAGGACATTGACTCGCCAGTTAACCCGCGCCCCGTAGGGCTACCGGCGGACCCTACCACCCGTAGGGGGGGGGGGCCGTTTCGGCCCCCCTAAGATCTCGGAAAGTTACCGGCCGATTTTCAAAATTCAAACGGCGTTCGATAGCCCCACCCGGGAACTACCTTGTGACCAAATTTCATTGACCTAGGTCAAACCGATGACGTCACAGGTCAGGTCAAAGGTCAGATTTTCACCGTTCACAGGCAATTCAAGAAATGTGCTGTGAAAGCGAGTAAATTGGTAATTTATTGAAAACCATCGATGGCACATTGTTCGTCAAACACATACTTTGCTATCTGAGGTCACTGATACCAGGTCAGGTCACAGCGAGGTCAGGTCACCGGGGGTCACAATATGAATGTGTCGTGTGATACATGTTTTATGGTCCATTTTACATGACAAATGCGATTATGTGGGTTAGGCAGCCTTTGGGGCCAGCCTAGGTCACGTTTTTGTGAAGGTCAGGTCAAGGTCAGGTCAAATTAGGTCAAATTTCAAAGTTGATATTTTTGCATAAAATGGGTATCGATTCGATGCAGCTCGTCACGGGGAGTCTAATGGTGGTCTTCGTTTTGCTCTACGAGTTCTAGAATTGCCAAAAATTGAGTTTGAAAATTTGACGTCATCATTTTTGAACAGTTTTTTCGCTATAACTTGGCCAAAAAACGAGATATCGATCTGAAATTTGGTATGTAGATAGAAGACGGTAGGCACTATCACATATATTCCGGTTTTTTCGAAACTCAAAAAACTTCTTGGATTTTTTGGCGAATATATCCAAAAAAATGCTTTTTTGATTTTTGGGGGTCAAAACTCAAAAATTTCAAAAATTCGAGATAGCAGTTTTGTAGCCCTGTCAATTCTACACCTTTTATGTCTTGATCATTTTTCTGTATCTTCAAAGCTGTAGTCCTGACAGGTCTTCTCGCGAAGGTCTTTTTTCGGTCGAAAATGACAGAACATGACGTCACTCTGACGTCATTTGTGGCCAACCTATCATAGCCTCTGGAAAATTTTTTGGTCACAATGTGTAAAATTGATGCCCGGAGGGATCCTGAAAGTTTGGTGGCGATATCTCCAGCCGTTTAGGAGATATCGACCGAAAAGGACAGGGGGGGGGCCGTTTCGGCCCCCCCCTACGGGGCGCGGGTTAAGGAAAGATTTTGAAGCTAAGATATCAGCAAACATGAAAGTAAACCCGAAGGCTTTTTGGAAACATGTGAACAGCCGCCGTAAAGTTAAAGCAAGTATTGGTGATCTAAGAAACGACCAGGGCCAGCTTGTTAGCGAGGAAAAAGAGAAGGCCTCGCTCCTGAATGATGTCTTCTGAGGCGCATTCACTATTGAAAAAACGGATGTCGTGCCACAACTAGCAAACCGTTACACAGGGCCGCCGCTGATCGATATACCAGTCAACCTTTTCACAGTGAAGGAAAAGCTTAAAGCACTGAACCCCAATAGTGCCCCAGGAGCTGATGACATTCACCCCCGCATAAGGGAATTGAGTGGTCCTCTCTCCCTTCCCTTGACCTTACTGTTCCGAAAATCGCTTGAAACTGGGTCTATTCCTGCAGACTGGAAGCACGGTAAA